AAACATACAAGTCTACACATAACATGTCCAGATAATGTTTTAGTGGTGCTGTGAAAATGCAAAAAAGCGCACTCTCACAGCGACCCGGTCTCTAAATCTACGAGAACCTAAAGCAGGTGTCGTAAGTTCCAGCATGATCGCAAGCAAACTCTGCATCTCAACACGACATCATTCCCTCAACCGGCACACACATAACAGGTCCATCGAAAAATGATCCTGCCTATTCCAACATTCTGGACACCGGAAGCCAGGGGACCCTGAGGCCACCATCGCAGTCTCTGTCGTAGAGTGCATAGCAGGTTGGATCGTTGCCTGACTCGACTCATGGCTGCTTTCGGTGACGGGATTTGCCCGATCGGCCGAGCCGCTGCATTTCCTCTCAGCCCTGGCCGGAAGAAACTCCTTCTTCTTTGGCCCCAGGCTTTCGGCCGTGCACCTGCAGAGAGCGGCTCGGCACTGAGCCCAGCGCCCAGCCGCCTGGCCTGACGCCCAGCCGCTTCTCGTAGCCGAAGGCCGCCGAGGCAGCTCCGACCTCGCGCCCCCCACGACCCCTCTCTCTCGTCCTTGAAGCGCTCACCCCTACCTCCAGCAGACTCCCGGTCAGATTCGGCCGGTTCACGTACCTCCCAAAACAACGAACACTCTTCGGACTTCCAGAACGAGTGAAGACCCGACTCGCCAGGGCACGTCTCCGTCCGCGTCCGATTGGTGCGCCCACCGCCACAAGTCACGCTGCAGGCGTCCCATTCCGTCCAATCCGAAACTTGGCAGTCCATGCAGAAGTTCGCACAGGCCTGCCCAAGAGTGAAAAAGCGGACATCCGTGCGAAGGAGAACGCGCCAGCCTTCTGCTCCTTCAGCTCCTGCACAGCACACGAAGGCCGAAAGCCAAGCACCCTGACACTGAGCCCTTGGACCCTTAAAGACTCAAGCGTGTGCCCGCTCCTCTTTTGTACAAGCGACGCCGCCATGAGCTGCTTCGGTGACGATGCTCCGACCCCGCGTCTTGTTCCCAGAGCAATAGGGCTCGCAGGCGGACCACTCAGCCCAATCCTGAAGGCCGACCGTGATCAAGAAATGAGGAAGCCTTCTCAAACAGCACCAGATCTAACTCCCCGGAACTCCGTGCCAAGGGTCGCTGTAGCCACAGTCGACGGGACAGGGACTCGGCAAGTCAGACGCGTCCATGAATCCGCTGCCGATGCGACCAGCTAAGCCCAGGACTCAGTGCTGCAATTCTTCTTTTCGATTCCGTCGCCTTCGGAAGGCTCAAGCCCTAAACCACGAGACATCAGAGCACCACATGCATCTAACTACGAAGCACACCACCTGCCTTAAACTGAATAAGGGAACAGCCCTACCTGAAACACAAAACATTCCTACCCTGCACACAATGGCTTGAATCGCGACAGATCCTTGCACCACATGCCTAAACCACAAGACATCCCACATGCATATAATATAGAACTAGCACAAAGCATTTCTGGACGTTGAAACCATGTTCAACGTGCTGGGGCGCGCAGGTGTTGGGCCATCCCGTTCGGATTCTTTGCTACGGAGTACATCGTCCTGTAAACTATATAAGTATATAATGGATTCAGATGGCGGAACCAAAGTTTCTCAGAATTGGCGGAGGTGCAAAGCTGCGCTGAGAGAAGCTCCGAAGCTGCCCGCGTCAGTCCGCGGCACCCCTAAACCCTAAACTGCGCCCGTGTGACGTGCCAAGCCTGTCATGCGTCCTGTACAGTACGGCTCTTTGCTTGTTCGAGACCCTGCAGCCGAACTCGCTTCGACATGCGTTTCCTTCCATTGTCTTCTTGATGAAGATGCAGAAGCCATGCTTGATTTGCGGGCCGGACAAAGTCTGACCTGAGACTGTGCCTCTATTCCTGGCAAGGTCTCATCGTCGGGCCCGTGCTGAGGCTTACTGCATATCCCCCACGCAGGGGATGACTGTTGCAGGCGAATTCGAATGAACATGATCCAGGGCCATGGTGCCCCAAGCGCGATATAGCGTGATGAAGGGCAGTTGAAGCTAGGTTCTCTTTAAGCTGAAGCGCCTTCACAGGCATAAAGCTTTAGAGCTTCGTGCATGGGGACCTTCAAACCAGCCGAGTTGCCAGTGCAAGGCTTGCCTCCTCCGATCTCCTACGAGCAGTGCAAAAGCCGAACTTGAAGCAGTGTCGCGCACTGACGAGTCCACCCGCCTTCTTGTTGTAAGCGCATGCGGAGACGTCCTCCTCCAGCACAAAGCCCGAGGTGCAAAGCACCACCTCCGACATCAGCACGAATCACACGAACAGGGGCCGCTGGGCCGCTGCCACATCTCGTGGGCCGGCCTGCTTCCCGTCGCAGCCAAGGTCCGAAAGGCCCTGGCAATCAGCCGAAACCTGGCAGAGACTCGCCGAAGACATTGCCCGGTGCGAAAGAACCGGACGTCTGATCCAGCCTTGCACTTCTCCTGGGCCTCCGCGAGTGGTAAGGCGTCACTGGCCTGCACAAACAAAAGTGGCAGATTCGTCGCCCTAGCAGCCTGTATCCGATATCGAAGGTCAGCCGTGAAACCCCTCGCCTGGTGACCAGCGTCGCACCTCTTCGACGCCTTCATCTCGAAGCCGAAGACCTGCGAGCCAGCGAGCTGAAGAAGTGCGGCACCTTGTCAAGGCGAGCGCCACTTGAGATCCCAAGGCCAGCCGAGGGCAGCTCCGACCTCCTCCTCCTGTGGCCACGAAGGTCTGGTCCCTGCTCCTGGCCCCCACACAACTTCCTCAAAAAAATGTGAGAAAGCGGGGTTGATTTTGCCACGCGCTGAGCCTGTTCATTGTTCCGCCGCCGCAAGACACTGTGCAGTTCGTCCAGGCAGTCCAATCCGACCAGCTGCAATCCATACAGAAGTTGGTGCATTTCTGGGTCTCATTCAATGCACCTTGGCGTCAATACGCTCAGCGTTCTGCAGGGTGTTTTGAAAATGTGCTACCTTATCCTTGGACGCCGTATTCGGGATTCCTGCAATTCGCCAGAGTGTTTGCTTTCCCTTATGGCTCATGGATGCCTTGAAACTGAACAGCCGAACAGTTTTGCATTCTCCGAGTTGCCGCAGGCTACACCGCCGTTCATCGGCAAGGTCTTCACCGTGCGATGCCGCGAAGTGTTGCCTCGCATTCTCTCGACACGCGATCGAAGCACGTGGAGGGAAGGAATCGCAGAACTTTTTTGGACCCTGGCTCGCCGCCCTTGCCTGCACAATATGGTTCGCAGGCTGTCCAATTCGACCAGTCAGTGAGCTCGCAGTCGACAGGGCAGGCTCCATTTCCACAAACTCGCGTCTCTGTCTTGTTCCTGAGCACGGGTGCGTGACCGAGCGAGAGCATGAGCAGAGAGTGCAGATGAGTGAATGCTGCAACCGCGCTTCCCGACGCATGCCTTGCCACCGTTGGTTGGTGGCACTGCGACGTCCCGCGTCCGGTTCTGATTGCCCCCGCCACAGGTCACGGAACACTCCACCCAAGAGGACCAGTCCTCTTCTGGCGACATTGTGACAACCCAAATCTGCGAAAAACTGCCGCTTCCCTCCTCGTACTCGCAGTCAGTGCAAACGCCATCGCAGGACTCTTCCTCCTTCGTGTCACCACAAGCCTCCGATCGACTTTCAAGACTTTGAAGCTTCCAGTTTGTCTAGGGTTGCACTGCCAGTTTCCAACGCCGCTACGACTTGCGCCTGGCCTGGCCACCGTGTGATGCAGCCTGGATGATCATCCGGTTCCGCTTGCGATGGCCCTGGCAGTTGGGCGCACAATGGCCCCAGTCCTGCCATCTCCGGCTGATTCGGGGTCCTGCTCCTGTCAGCCTGTGTCTTGAAGAACTAGGCGACCTAACATAACTAGAGCGACTAAAGCTCTTAAAGCCTTTAACAGGCAAACCTACGGGTTGATGCGGTGCTTCCATAGCTCTGACGTCTTCAATCAGGGTATACCAGAGGAATAAATCCTAAGCTCCCAAACCAGTACCCTGTCGCAGCAGCACAGTGTCCTGCCAGTCGCTAATGACGCAATCCACGGGGCACTCTTTGGTGTTGCATTCCTGGCGTCTCACAGGCGCATGGAGAGTCATAGTGGGATACAGCGAGCGCTGACATCCTCTGTCTGTTTCTTCTCCGCGGCTTCGCAGGCCTTCCCACCGTTCTGAGCCTGTGCAGAGCAAGAAACGGTCGACTCCTTGGCCGCGCCGGACTGGCCTTCGTCTTGACGGTCCGAGTCCTGCAGCTCTCTGCGGCTCACTACGGTAGTGCGGGTGAGTCTTACTCAGACGCAGCCTATTCTCCGGGAAAATATCAGACTGATTCCATGGCATCCGCACCTCTTTCGTGACCCACCGCCACAGGTTTCGCTGCACTGGCTCCATTTTCCCCAATCCTGACACACTATCGCTGTCAACAACAAGAATCCTTCGGTTCATGCATCGCAAAAACCACGAAAAGCATACATCATCTGAGGCCCAGACATTGTACTCACAGTCCTCACGCAGGATTCATGGCTGCATAGCCGCGAGAGCAGAAGGCAAGATCGCAACAGTATATCAAGGGAGCAGATCCTGCACTGCTCCGTCGTCTTCGTCGGCCTCTTCCTCGTCTGAGTCTGTTTCTTCCTCCTCGTCCTCGTCCTCTTCCTCTTCTGCAGTGGCGTTGCCGGTCGGGCCAGCGTCCTCTCCAAGTGAGTGAGGCGCAGGCGAACTCGGCGAACGCTCAGGCCAGGCCCGAACCTCCGTCGCATCTGATTGCCTGATCGAATGCATCGAAAGCCTTCGGGCAGAAATGCCTCCAGGAGCGACGCCATGCGGCTGCCCACGTGAATCGAGACTCCCGCCCGGCCTCGTGCATGACCCCTGTCCTTGGACCTCAGATGCGAATCTCCAGCATACAGCTTTTCGGACTGGCAGTGAGCGGCTCGGACAGTGGCTCTATGTAGCCACGGCCGTGGTCACCACTATGGACCTGGCACTGGTGGTTTTCTGGAAGAACCTATGTCGCAAAAGAAGTCTCTGCACCGCAGAGCCCGGTGGTGTCTGCATGGCTTCGCTTGCGGCGCATACATTCCTAAATCGACTCCCAGGCTTATGTACCTAGGCATTTGAGATTTTGGGGTGAGCATGCTTGCACATGAACCAATTACCATGACTGTTCAGGTTGAGGATTCACAGAACACAACCTCTTCGTGGCATGGAGCACATCAAAAACGTCCGCAAGGCTCCACGATCCTACGATCCTCCACAGTCTCTTTTCTAGAGTTTCCAGAGCCACCAGCTCTGCAGCATGATGGTCACATGCCAGGGCAGCATGGCCAGTGTCATCCACAGCAGCGCCTGTCGACGGTTGACCCTGTACACTGCCAAAAACACCAAAGTGTCACCAGAACAATGCTCAGAGACGTTTCTGCATGACCGAGGTTCCCAGCCTCGTTTTCTATGGTGTTGTCGATGATGCTTGTGTGAAGGTCTTTCCTCGTACCTGAAGAACAACCCATATGCAGTAAACACAAAAACAGCAACCGCAGCCCGACGACACTCGCACCACCAAAACATCGCAGGGCACTGCTCATCTGAATCACCATAGTCGTCACTCTTTTCCACAACACCGTTGCTGTCAACAGCATGCCGACCTGCAGCGGAGCGCGACTTCGAACGGAGCTGTGCTAGAAAGCGGAATGCGCACCGCCGTGAAGGCTTCGGCTTGCGGCAGCCCGAGGCTCCCACGAAGGAGTCGGCTCGAGGGCCTGCACGATTCCGAGAGCTAAACAAGGGCGCGACCTCGTGTTATTGCTTGACGACCAGCGAGTGAAAACGGCCTGCTGTGGCTCTGATGATCAGATGCATGCCGCCCTTAGCAAAGTCAGCTGCTGTTTTCAACGAGTGATTTTGGGCAAGTCATCCACAATCTTCTTAAGCGAAGAGGTTGATCGGGAGGCCTGAAGACACGGTGAAACGGACTGTAGGCTTTGACAGCATCTGGACGGTGCTTTCAACCTCTGCATCTGGACATGACCGCTAGAGGAGCGTTTCAGCTCTCTTGACCCTGCCCGCATTAACGGCTGACCAGGTTGCCCATAATCCAGGCTTAACTGCTGTTGATCCCAGACCCCAGAAGTGCGCGAGGGGGCTGCAACAGAGATTCAACATTTGCGCATGCGCTTGGCCGGTGGTTCGTGACCGTGACTACAATTTGTTCGTGCAATTTTTTGCGTCCCCGACCTTTTCGCTTCGTACATCTGCGAAGTCAACCGAGCTGGAGAGACGTCCCCAGCCGGAACAGATCGAGAACGCCAGAGGCTCCACACCTTGACTCCCAACAAGGCAACAGTAGAAGCTAAGCCCCAAGACGTTAAATCCGGAACGGCAGGTCAAAACCCCAAACAAAACAGCAGAATTGACTAACGCCATCTGGCATTTGCCAGATGGAACAAAGATCCAGCTGAAATGCAGCCGGCAAGACCTCGAGTCAGCGAAGCGACAGCTGGTAACCCTCAACCTAAATCACGAGACGACAGCGAGAATAAAAAAATCTATATCAGTACAGAAGCCCAACCACCGACATGGGTCACACATGGGCCAAACTCAGAAACATGACAGATGGACACCCTAAAACTTCACAAACCATGATCCCCAACATCCCTCAACAAGCTCAAAACGACTCGTACAACTTGGAACCCGACGAGAGGAGACGAAAGTGTGATCCACCAAGCTCGTCACATCCCAAGCCCGAAACACACAGCAACAAAAAAGCATTACCCAAGGTGTACGGATTAAATAGAATGTAGCAGACATTAAACCCGAATATTCCACGGAACAAAACACCCCGAACCCCAGACGTTTCTTCTTAAGCAGCAAACCCCAAAACCGAAACCCCAGAAGGGTCAGGGAATCGGCCCGCGTAGACATGTGCACATATTGAAACCCCTAAAGGAAGCGCATCCGCAACATTAGACTCACTTTCCCACAAACCTTTAACCCGAAACCGTGGCATGAGCCAGAATGCAGAGGCCGCAAACAACACATGCCTAGAGATGCGGCAAGCCTAAATCGCAACCCTTCGCTACAGCAAGATGTCCCTAAATCTAGAGCACGTAGAGTCGACAAGCCGCCACCAAACTTAACCTTGGACCTTGGGCGGTAGCAAACCGCAACTGCGGTCGGCAAACCCTCAAGTGTTGACCTTGAGGCGTTCGATAACGATACCGAAAACCTTCAGAGGTAGCAAACCATGGCAGGAGGAATAAACACTCTTGACTTCTGACACATGGCACGACATGAACCACGACGCAGTGTCAGGTTCTTGTCCAGGCTTGGGGTGTCGCAGTCTTCGTTTCAGATTGCCAAGATTTTGAAAATTGAAGGCACCACCTAAAAATTAAGCCCACCTGCAAGTGAAACCCCCACGTCACCGTAGGAAAATATTAGGAGATGAGAGGCCGAAGAGCATGGCCCTGCTAAGACTACTGTTTCGAATGTGTAGAAGGCCTGAACCCAAAACCCCATGAACCCTAAATCTCACACGTGGCCTCGGCCCCAAACCCTAAATCGAGATGATTCCGGCTACCCCGCACAGAGCACCACCTCAGTCGGAAACCGCGAACCCAGAAACAACACAAGGAATGGGACACAGTCGGAAACTCCGCAAGGCGTGAACAAACCTCAGCAGCGAAACTAACCCCAACGCGTCTTCAATGAGCCCTGCAAAACTGCAAAGTGATGCCGACTGGACACGACATCTGAAAAGTCTACCGCACAATCACTTGAGACTACAGGACGGACTCTTTCAGATTCGAAGTCAGAACTAACAGCCAGCTATAACCACATCAATGCCTCTGGCATAGTCATGTTGTGCTCGCTTTAACTTTCAGCACCGTGAAACACCAAGCAGAAAGAGACTCATTGGCTGCCTTCTGAGGGCCTTACTGTTAAGGTGTCGTTCCGGCGCTGCCTTCTCCTGCTCCTGTTACGGTGTGCGTTGTAGTGTGGAAACTCAAAACTCGCACCCTCGCTGTAAGGTACCGCCTGAACTTCAGCTCCACAGGTGACAACCCGAAGCGTATTAAGGACCTGAGGTTCCAAGGAGGCGTGAATCTTACTTGCTTTGACACAGACCGTCACCGAGGTTCTGACAAGTATGCATGTGAGGAAGCATCTGATTGACCTCGGCCCCATTGATGGCAATATCTAGAATCCAGACGGATCACAGAACTTGGAAACAACTCTTGCGTATGCACTGGAAAGTGACTAGTGATCCTGTGGCGACACTCTCAGCCGGATGCCTCATGTGCGAGATCTAAGCAAAGCCCGCATAGGCTACCTGCAGTGCATGCTTTCCGCCAGACGAGAGCACAACCCTCCTCGCTTCTCTTTCAAGGTCTAGACAGCCGATGGCTTCCGAAGCACCATGAGACCCCACTCACCGACTTCCAAGTGAGAGCCATGGCAAACGCAAGTTGAACAAGCATCACAAATAGTCAGGCCAAGGCACGTATGGATACCGGTGTTGAGCAGTTGACTAAGGATTTCTACAAGGCTGAGCCACAGGGCCTCGCAGGGCGGCCCTTGGGCCAGCGCTGAGAAGAACACAAGCCAGCAAGGAAGGGAAAGCTCCAAAGCCAGAAACATCTCCTCTGACCCTGCTGCCTCCCCAAACGCAGAGACACGACGCATGGCCCGCCCCAGTAAAATCGGTCGCTGCAAATGCCGGGGTTGGGACGAGCTGCCTGTGTCCTCCGTGATCGTCCTGGCTGGCTGCATCACCGTGAGGGTCAAAATGGGGCATTCGTTCAAGAGTTCGCCTGGCGGAAAGGTCTACGAGCTGCCAGGATGCGGAACCCTGTGCCTCGGCCTCGTCGCTGTGATCCCCGTCTTTCAGGGACTTCTGCACACCGTTGCCATTGCCTCACTGACTGTTGCTTGGAGGTAACCAGGTAGGAGTGAATTTGGATGGGTGCAACGCTGCGTAACAAACTATGCCAAACCAACTCCAGGTGGAAAGCATCTCACTTACACGTCTTGCTGTTGCTGTGGCTTCCGAGATCGGGCCACCAAGCTCCGAGCAGGCAACCTTTGCTTCCTCAACTCATGAATTCGCTTCCTCAACTACTTGAAATCGGGCTCCTAGATTCAAGGCGCAGGTACTCGACGTCAGCGTGAAAGCCCAACATCACCGTGGCTGCACATGCTACGTGCCTGTATACAGACAACAGGCCACAAACTTGCTGAACCCCAGGTGGGAACACAACCTTGACGGAAATGGAGGTCAACATCCCATGCAGATCAAGTTGTGTCCAATACTGGGGCGTGCCCGGGAATAACATTGTCCCTTCCTTGATTCTGCTAATATTTCCAACTTCGGCTGGATATGTCAATCCAACTATCACTGTTGAAACAGCGAGTGGTTATGCAGCCTGACCCACACACAACGTATGCTACAGATCTCAAGATCAAGGATATCGATGCACAAGAATCGATCGTTCCGTTGTTTAGGCCAGCATTCTGAGGCAGCGGACTGAGAGGAGTAGAATCCTGCGCGGCTCGCTCGACATTGCACAATAACACAGAGAGACACGCTTGAAAGGCTGTTGAAGGCCGGTGGCTGCTGACCTCAAGCTCTTGTCGGAGGTCTGCCAGCTTTGACCTCAAAGGGCCGCTGGAACGGGCGAGGAAAAGCATCACTCGCGCTGATTGACAGCATGAGATGCTGACGCCAGCTCATGAAGGCTCGTCCTCCAGCTGCCACAGAGCTCCTTCCACGCAGTGGCAATGCTCTTGGACTGTGTGCGACCCGAAGCTCTCTCCAGCAGCATTTCAACGGCATGAATTCGGCATGTTCTGCTTTGTGAAGACGGTAGCCTACTAGATTTGAGGGGACTGCGATCTGCAGCGAGCTCGAAATATCTTGAATCGCAACCACACTTCCTATGGTTCAGCTGGTTCTTAACAAGGCGGCATCCGTCGGCACCTGGTCAAGGGCTGCCAGAGATCGCCGCGCCATCTCCGCCCAATCCCTCGTAAGGAAAGCAATGCCAGTCGCAGCATCCGTTTGATCTACGAGTTGAGCAGCCAACTGGCCACTCAAAACCGCCCAGCGACGTGCACCACCCAGGAGGTGGTTCCACCAAATACTTCCAGCAATCAACGAATACAGCAAAAGGGATGTCCACAAGGTGCTGATGGACATGAAGGGGAGCGTCGGAGCCCCAATAAATTGCAAGAGCGGCAACAGTAGGCCGAAAACGGTGAGACACAGAGTCACCCACGAGGCCCAGCGGACTGCATCGATTGAAGTGAGGGCGAAAGGAAGCCACAGGATAGACAAAGCCCAGTAGCCCATCCAGGGCTTCCAAAACGCAGATCCAGAAAAAGAACCCAGAAAGGGCCAGGGACGACCTGCCCATGTCTCCCAGCTCGAGGTCTCTGTGTGCTTCCGTCGCATCTCGGCCAAGGCAATGAGGCGCTTGGCCTGATCTGTTTGGGACCAACTCAAGAGCTCCGCCACTCGCACCGCTGGGGGCGGCTCCCTGGGATTCTGAAACAGCGCCTCCTGCCGATAAGCCCACATCCTCTCGTGAGCCATGTCAGCCACACTGCCAAGCGTTCGCCGCAGATCCTGAAAAAGCTCTCAAGCCATGCCCTGCTATGCGCGCTTGAGCAACCGAAGGTGAGAGGAAGCCAAGAAGCCAAAAAGGGGGCTCTCGCTTTTACCAAGTCTCCGTCTGCTGCGGCGGCAGGAGCCGGTGGACCCTGAGCAGCGCACTGGCTGCAGCCGTGGCGTCCCCGGCGGCCAGGGCCGCGGCACGATCCTGACGACCAGCTGCAGGCTTACGGCCTTCTACTACATACTAGATGCAACTGCAGAAGACTTCAAGCTTCACAGCAGCTGAAGACAAAATGATGGTGCCAAGCTTCCAGGGTGAGCACATGAGACCTTCCCCTCGAACCGCTGAGGAGCCGAAGCAGCGCTAGCACCAATGCATTCCCAGCGAGATCTCGCAAGGGCTGAGGTGCTGGGGATCCCCTCAGCTGCCACTTCGGGGGTTTCCGATGTTCCAAAGCCTCTGCGATCCCGTTGCTGTTCACGGCGAGCCCGGCAAAGATCGGCGGCAGCAGTGGGCCTGGAACGAGCCGACGGAGAATCACGCCCAAAGCTTCGAATTCTGCCGTCGTGCCCGTGTGCGAGTACGGGCGCTTCCAGGACCGGGCACGACCCGTCAGCATTCTTCGTATCCAGGGCGGCGCACCGGCTAAGGCTTGATTCGGCTCAGTAACTTGACAAAGAGCATCATACGCTCGCGCAGCAAAGATTCCGTACGTCAGAGGCTCGCGGAGCTCTTGTGGAATGACAGCTGGCAAACGTCTCAAAACCAGTTGGCCCACCTCGAAGCCCATAAGCGCTTTGATTTCCTGTGGACGATACTCTTTGAGCAAGCTCGTCTGGACAACCTGTCTTGCAGAAGTAAAGGGGGAAGAGAATCCAACATGGGACCGTTTAGACTGCGGGTCAAAAGGTGTGGCCAAGCTTCTAGTGCATCTCGCTCCGTGGCCGGCAAGATCCAGATAGGCGCAGAGCGCTTGCTGCGCGGAGTGAGCCGGCTTGGAGGCCAAGCCTCGTCGATCCAGAGCTGTGGGCAACGTGACGAGGTTTTTCTCGATGTTTGCGACAGGCCCAAGACTCTGCAGACTTCCTGCGACGCGAGATCCGCAAAGCAAACTACATGCCAAAGGGAAGCTGCCTCCAGCCAGGCGCGCAAGTTGCGAAAGGAGTGACCACCTGGAAGCACAGAGACAACTTCTGCAAAGTCTGCAGCATTGCGTGTTTATAGACTCATTCGCGCCTTCGCTCTTCACCAGCCCATTTCCTCGTAGCACCTTCTCGGTGCGGAGGAAAGACCAGGGAGAGCTGCGAAGTCGCGGCAAGGAGCGACCAACAGGTCTCAAAAAGTAGTCGCCTGCATGGGGCACAAACATCGACGAGTTGGAGCTGGGAAGAAAGGGGCACCCCTTTGGAAGTCTGCCTATTCTCTGCCACCAGTGAGGCAACTCCTGCTGGAACTCATCCAGGGCGGCATCCGCCAGAACTCCTTCCGCATGTTGCAAGCTTCCTGTCATGCGGCCGGCAACATCTGAGCAGGAGCTTCACAGCTCCACAACGAATCTAAGGGCAACCACATCGAGAACTGAAAGGTGCCTTGATGCACCGGACCTCCAATCTCCAGAATGGTACCGGCAAACTTCGGCACAGCGAGGTGGCAAAACCACAACACGCCCAACAGCGCCACCGAACATGAAGCACAACGAAAGCGCCGACTTCCATGGGCGAGCATGTCTGGCATTTAAGTCTTGCATGCAGGCTGCTTGCTGCATCTCGGCCCATCTCGACTGGAGAAATCGTGTAGGGGAAGAGACACACACTGTATATCTGTCTATGTATCTGTGGAAATTGCCGATTGAAACACGGGATCAAGCATTGCACCCATGGAGAATCCATTAGCCCATGGACGGCTCCCTACACAAGATGCTGATCCCAAAATCACGATACTAACTGATGCAAAAACTTCAACCAGAGGCTTTGCAAGCTGACAGGCCACAATTGGAACCGTTTCAATCGCTGCGCACCTGGCATGGAAAGGGGCTACAACTGCCGCCAGTAGAAATATCTCGACCGCATGTAAGCTTGACCTCGAAGACTTCCGAAACGCTGTCACTCCCGTTGGCAAGGCGCTGGTGTCTCACGAGGACATGTTACGACTCTTTGTATTCTGAAAATGGCTCTGGGAATCCGAACCTGCCTTGAGGCACAAACACGCGAGCTTGAAATGCAGCTCGAGGTTGGAAGTTACAACACGTGGGCAAAAGGGTTGATCTACGAGCTGCCCTCCTGCAGCCTTACCACCCTCCAAGTACTTGCTGACGCCCTTAGATGTCCAAGTTCCAGACTTGGATGTGCGGCCACTCACACAGAACTCGATGAACTCTGCAACCTGTGCTCTTCAGCATGGTTGTCCTTCGCCTCCATCAAATCCAACACCTCGTCGTCTGCGCATAGTCTCTCTCCGTAAGACTTGCAGTAGTTGCCAGCTTTCAACTTGAAGATCCAAATGCCCTCGCCTGACGAATCTCTGTTCTGCCTGATGCCGCGCCGGCTGGAAAGCCATCTTCAAGCCAGCTGCAAACTCCTTTACCGTTAGAGGCGAAGATGTCCTCCAACCAATACTCCGTGGCCACCTAGGGCCAAATCTGAATGCCTCGCTGCGCACGGCACGCATGCCATCATCAAACTTG